GATTAACCTGGATCTGTGGGCCAGAAATTTCCTTGCATATATCACTTAACCCCATAATTTTTCTGCCATTCCTGCTGTTCCTGCTGTTGATTTTCCTGTTCATGATTTGTATGCTCCATGCAGGTGGTTTCGAAGATTTTTGGATGGTTTTGTAAATGTGTGTTGATTTTAATTGATTGGATTGGCTTCATTTTATCAGTTTTGTACGGAATGTTTGTATATATACCCCTCTTTAAAAAAAAAATACAAACTCTGTAAATAGTTTGCGGAGTTGTGGTTGTGGCTTCTATATATTTTCAAGGCGAACGAAGAAGCAAAGCACCAGGTCTTTACACTAAAAATGGAAACCAGAGACTTCAGAGGAGACTTCAAATCTCTTGTCATGTCGACATTACTTTTTCATAGTGGAAGTTTTGTTCTCAACTGTTACCTTTTGAAACACAAATCATTATAGTCTTGAGTCTGTAATAGATCTACCATCTTTCCCTATCCTGCCATTTTTATTGAGAGCTATGGAAGACAACAAAATTAAGAGAATGAGAAATCGCCCGAGAAGGCGAGAAGTGAAGATTCAAAGGAAAAAAAGGTTGGTAAGAGTACGGTTCGGGTTGGATTGATTGGATTTTTCGAGTCAGTTTTTTCTTTTTTCTTTTTTTCCTTGTCATCATTGCTACCACGATGTTAATCTGTTGATTGAGAAATATAGTTGTTTCCTTTTGATCTTATCATGAATATAGATTTCTCAAAAATGGAGGCTAAATAGATGCTCTTGGATTTTGGGAGGTCGATTTGCTTTCTATATAAGTTTTTTATTGGTATTTATTGTTTTTTCCTTTTTTTGAGGATCTCTAAATTCTTCTTTATTTTATATTGAATAGGTATTTGAAAGTCTTTGATCTATTCAACATTATTTAAATAGGTAGCTTTATTTATACACAATTGAATTTTATGTCTCACGTAACTTTGACCTGTCAATTTTGTAAAAACTCGTGACCTGTCAATTTTGTAAAAACTTATTAGATGTAAAATTGCAAGTTAAAAAATCTATTGATCATTTGTTTAAATTTCAGGACTTATTGTATGCGAGGAAGTTTGAATTATGCATAGAATTTCATTATTTGTGAAAATTCTAAAATTAAAGTATTTCTTATGTTTTTTGTTTTTAAAGAGAGTATATTTTAGTAATGGTTCCTCGTATAAAAAGAAAAATAAAATTTTGATAGTTGTTATTTTGAAGTTTTAAGTTAACTACATAAAAGTTTTGTATGCAAATTAATTTTAAAGAAATTAAATATTCAAAATTACTTATTTTTCATTTTTCTTTTAATAGTTATTGTCCATTGTATATTACAATAAAAAAAAGTGAGAAATTAATATTTTTTGCTAATCTTCTTAAAACAATAACTACCGAAAGAAACTTATGCTTAGAACAAATTGAGACAAGATTTTATGTAAACTTAATTCATTTGACCTCAACTAACTATTTTTCAATTTTATGCATTAAAAAAATTGAACCAACATGCTTCAAACCAAAACCTGTAGTTTATTTCATCAATAATCTTTTTCTGTTTTGCATTTGCACGAAACAGACAATGGTGGTATGTATAGTCTAAAGACTGTAGTTTCATCCTGCCGTGAATTTCTCAGAAACGCAAACATTGTTCTAATTAGATCTATCAAGAACCTATGAACCCACGAACACGTAACAAGGGAACGGTTCATCCTTGCCATGAATTTCTCAGAAACGCAAACATTGTTCTAATTAGATCTATCAAGAACCTATGAACCCACGGACACGTATCAAGGGAAGGGTTCATCCTTGCCATGAATTTCTCAAAAACGCAAACATTGTTCTAATTAGATCTATCCAGAACCTATGAACCCACAAACACGAACGGGAACAAGGGAAAGAGAATCCCTTACTCTAAGCTCTTGAAGGCCAATGAACTCCACTCTTGCTTTACCATTCAAGATTTGATGAAGACAGAGGAGGATTGAAGATTCAAACTTCTTCACTCAACACCAAAGCCTGTTTTTGGCTACTGTCATGAGAGCATGAAGAGATAGAACACTTCATTCAAATCATAAAATAACTAATGAAAATCGAGCTTCATAGAACATTCCAACAAGAAATGTAAACTCATAAACTTCAAAAGGAGGGAATCCTGCTACATCTTCACGATTCACAGACACTAAAAATTGGGGGAAGGGGCATTAGAGCAGTTTATATCCTAAAATTTGTCTCCGAATGGTTTTCTTCAGCAATTCCATTTGTAAAGGCACACATAAGCATCTGCTTCCACATTCCCATTTGATTATTTAAAATGTAATGTACTGACTAATGTTAGCAAGTTATAATAGATGATCCTAGTCTAAAAAATAGCACTTCTGACCACTTAAATGAGTCATGGAGAAGCTCAAAAAGAAGTTAAATAATTAAACTAGAAAGTGACAAAACAGGGAATTTTCCAAAACAAGTTCTTTAAAAAAGAGAAAAGAATTCCATTTAGCCAAGAAGAGTTCAACAAACACAACAATATTTATGAATTCTATGATATTTGAATAACTGAAATATGAACAACTGAGTTGTGTCTTTCTACAAACATCTTCAACACTCTATTCCAAGTTTCCAACTAAAGGTTATGCCACTTAAGGAGAGCATATCTCAAGTAATTTTCTCATTTAAGATATTGGTTAACAGAATAACAAAGAACCTAATAAAAATCATAACCATTATAATAATTTCAAAATACGTTTGAAAATTACATTTAGCACCATCCATCACAGGGTTTACTAATAGGAGGGAAACCTTCTTCATTTTCTAATAAGAAACTAAGTTGTTCAAAGATGCCAGAGACGATGACCTAAGGTTCAGGGGTAGAGAGAGCACCTGCCTAGAAAAAGTATTTCATGTAGCACCTCCAATAGAGGTTGATTAGCAGAATAATGTGACTACAAAAGAATTTTTCCTTATGAAGGCTACAAGATCACCAAAGCTATCCAAGAACTTCACTCTATCACCAAAATTCCTCCTCTCGCAGCAGACTTCCATGGCATTTTATCTGTCTTCCAATAACCAACCCAAAAGCACTTCAAACAACTCACTAATATTCACAGGAGAGGATAGTGATAAAACTAAAATTTCCTCTGAAAGAAAACCCGACCTCTGGCATTGAAATGGTAGTGGGGAAAAATATGCTCCAGAGTTTCTTCCTCCTGAAGACTGGGGATTCTTTTGGAGTTTATCCTGTGTATTCAGGCTTCGATAAACAGAGGAGCCAATACAGATATGGAGGGTTGGGGTCTTCAAGAAGAAAGGGGAGTCTAAGAGAATTTCTACATTATTTTGACTTTCTAATATTGTCCTCTAAGATTTTTGGGGACAAATTATACCTCATCTATTATGGATAGTTGCCTGCATTAACAGAAACTTGTTCACACAACACACACGAAGAAGAAGAGATGCTTCAGCTTATGTTCTTAGTTTGGTTCTTATCTTGTGGGCTAATACCTTCCTGCAACATACTTCACAGAAAAACCTTAACCTTCTTGGGGTGGTTGTCTGTCCATATCATTCTACACGAGGGGAAAACCTTACAACAATATGGTTTAAGAAGATGAATATCAAAGGACCTTGGCCAATGATTCTTCCTACCGATGTGGCAATCTGGAAAATGATAGACATCTCATTGAACATCAATTTTTTTTTTAATTATTGTAGGGCTTTACCCCGAAGGGAGGCCTTCCAGAAATTCTCCATGGCCTGGGGTGAACCCAGGCCTAAGAGGGGGTTTGTAAATAGTTTTCAACCAGCAATAGACGCATCTTGGTTAGAACCTCACTAATAGGTTCGGTTAGAATCTCATTGAACATCAAATTTACTTCTATCAAAATATTAGAATTCAAGAAGCATGTCTCCTCCTAGACCATCAATTAATTTCTGAATTCTCTTAGCCCCAAACCTATAAACTACAAAAACAATTCAGTCTTAGATAGTGTACAATTATCAGTAAAGGTGTTGGCTTTCCTTTAGCCCAGCATCAACTGCTCCGTATGTTACTCAAAAACATAAAAAGACACTCACTTTTTATGATATTGATACAGATATAATCAAAGAATGACATTTAACAACCTTCAGAAATCAATAAATTATAATAATACTATGGCAGTACAAAAAGGAAATGAAAGTTGTTTCAAACCATCGTACGAAAAAGAAGTGTAAATTAACAATTTTGTGAATAAGTAACCATTATAGAGGTCTAAAAATACAAGTCCCCAAAACTAGCTTAAAACTTTTTAGCAACTAGAAAGATTGAAGTGGAAAGAGAATATATACATAGTGAAAGGCGGATGGAGTACAACACAAATCAGCAGCTAGACAATGAGCCCTCCAGTTATAATACCCGCTGCATATGTCATTCCTGTGCTTACATGCACCTTGTATAACCCTGTGTGTCAATCATCAAACTCTACAATATTTGAAATAAAAAATTCGTAAAAATCCTAGATAGGTTAGCTACCAACCTATCACCATTTGAACTGTAACTTCTAAAGCATCTAAGTTTAAAGTTTGCTCCTTCAACCACTAAAACTACCCAAATCTTTTATTTCCCATTAATTTTCAAACCTGTGACTTTGTTCAACACAAAGCAAACCAATTTTTTTTAGAAATAGTATTAAAAAATGAAAATAACTGAGGCTTTTTTAAATAAAAACTAAGCTTTGATTAAGAAAATTTGAAGGAAGGCAAGTAAGCGTAAGGAGGAATTAGTCAAATAGAGCACCGAAGAGCGAGCTGTTCTCAACCATGGAAAAGGGAACTATGAACATATTCTAACTGGTTCTAAGTCTATACCACCAAGAGTAACATAATAACAAATTCCGACTACAATAGGAAGGGGGGGTGGGCGTTACAAGATGAAAGATCCCAAATTAAAGTTTAATGAAAGCCTGTAGAACTATTATCTGTACTCTCCTTTTCGATCAAAAGCAATGGCAGGTAAATGCAAGACATTAACAAATCCCCATTGAAATCCGACAAGGAAACATAATGTTCACGAACACAGTTTTCAAAGAAGAAGGGCAATGAAGCACAGAGTTTTCACATAATATCTCATAAGTTACGCTTGAGACTTAGACAATTACAATCCGTAAACGGGCATAAGTATAATTTTTATTATAAAAACCACATGTAACAAAGATCAACAAACCAAAGTTACCGAACACATCTATAGTTGGTTATACCACAGGCTTAACAGGGGCAACCTCGTCGGGGACCTTGATGTAACCCATCTTCTTGATGTTTTCTTTGTTATCATCGCTGTAATCATCCTCATCACCAAAGTCCCCATACACAGAGGAGCGGTAGCCGAAGCGGGAGGCGCACAACGAATACGCCAAATACATAGTGGCAGCGGTGAGAGCGCCACACCCGACGCCGAATAGCAGAGCCACCACTACGCTGAGAATATCCTTGGTGCGATCACGGAGAGAGCTGAAGTCGTAGGAAAACCCCAAGGGCGAGTCTTGTAAAGGGTGGGGTTGGGTCGCAACAGCTCTCGGGCGAGCGAGATCGTATTGGAGGATGTCTTGGGCGACGCTGTGGAAGAGCGCCTCGGAAGACGAGGCGGAGGAGGATTTCAACTCGGTGATGTCGACGATTATGGCCATTTCGGAGAAGGGATCGCGGGAATCGAGGGTTCGGTGACGGTGGAGGGAGAAGGAGACGAAGAGCGATTTGCAAGGGCGGGCATCTGCGGAGATTGAGAGGAGAATGGGGAGAAGAAAGAGGAGAAGAAGAGGAATCAATTTTGACGCCATGGATGGACCTTTGAAGAAGGAATGGAGAAATTTGGGAACGAAAGTAGACTCGCTCTCTCTCGCGTCTCCTCTCAATCTGTGTTTGTGTGTTTCTTGACGATTGCTTCACCAATTGAATTGACCACGTCCATTCATATATAATTCACTTTTTTTTTTCAGATCAACAGTTTTTTTTTTTTAATAATTGGATTATTACCTTGGAAAAAGAAAATTTAACTCATTTTGATTTTACATTTATCTCTTAATTGTCAAACACAACACTCCACGGTGGTGAGCAACTGTTATCGGTCATTCTTTATTCTTCGAGATTACTTGAATGAGAGGGTATATGAGAATAGCCAAATTTATGATTGAAGGATACAATAGAAGTTTATATTCAAGTTAGAAATCTCTTAACAATCCTATTTGAAGAGAATTGTTACACGAGATGCTAAGTCCATTAGAGTGAGTTTATTTGAGTGTCATGTGAAAGTAATACTATGAACGTATGAGAAAATGACGTTATAGTAGTTTTACAGATATGTCCTAAGAGTCATGGTATAAGAATAATTTGGACTTACTAAGTTATATATATACCCACACATATACATATACATATAGAAACATACATACCCATATGATTGTAAAAATATACATAGAATAAAAACTCCTAGAGTGATGTTTTCGCTTTCGTTTTCAAATGTTTCTAAGGTACAGTGAAATGACAATTGTCAAACCAAGCATAGCTCAAGTAAATAAACACCTTAATATTATCTCATCTTAAAGGTCAACGGTTCGATCATCCACTCTAGAAGTGAAATGACAATTTTCTTCCTTTAAAAAAAGTTGAAGGTGTAAAACACGACATGAATGAATGATGGAATTGGTAGTCTCAATGTGGCCTTGAAAATGCATATGTCGAGAGTTGTTCGCCTATCACAACCTCATCCAAGGATGGACCGAAGAAAGAAGTTAAGGTAATTCAGCTTTTAATTTTCTTGGGTTGATTTCATAATCAAAATGTCTCTCATAAACAAAAGGTATTTGATCACATATTTGGTCTTTGTGGCTTTTCGATTATGGAATCAACTTAAAGAAAGTAAAAACTAAATTAATTACCTCGTTGATCAAATATGTTAATTACATAATTGGTGTAAAACCAAGAAGAGTAAAATCTATCTTATCCAACTAGAAAATACAAATGGCTTTAAATAGGAAGTTGAATAACCAACACTTAACTAACTAATTCAAACAATATCCAACGGCTAAGGCTATAAACAAACAAGCCTTAATAAACTACATCAAATTCCCCAGCCTAAAAAAAACTCGTCCTCTAGTGTCATTTAGCGAGCACAAAATCATTGGCCGCCCTATATTCATATATATCGACTATATTAAAGACGGGATGAATCTTAAGGTCCTTTGGTTAGTTGATCCAGTACGCATTGTCGCCATATTGTTGGAGAACTTCAAAGGGGCCAATTTTTTTATTGTGTAGCTTGTAGTAAGTTCCCTTAGGAAATCGAGAATTCTTGAGGTAGACCATAACAAGATCTCCAGGTTTAAATTGCTTTGCCCGCCTATGAACATCTGCTGCAGCTTTATATGAGTTTGTTGCTTGTAGTAGGTTCTCGGTCACCTCTTTGTGCAGCTCCACAATTCTTTCTGCCATAAGTTCAGCTTCCTGATTAAAATCCACAGTACAGGGAAGATTAGTAAGATCTAATGTTAATCTAGGGAGCCTTGTATACACAATATCAAAAGGAGACTTCCTTGTGGACCGGTTCTTCATATGATTGTAAGCAAATTCAGCTTGGGCAAGTGTAAGATCCCATTGTTTTGGCCTGTTTCCTCCCAAACAGCGTATTAGGTTGCCCAATGTTCTATTAGTGACCTCCGTTTGCCCATCGGTCTGTGGATGGCTAGTTGTACTAAACTTTAAACCTGTGTCAAACTTCTTCCACAAAGTTTTCCAGAAATGACTTAAATATTTGACATCTCGATCCGATACTATGGTACAGGGAACGCCATGTAGTCTTACAATTTCTCGAAAAAACAAGTTAGCTATATAGATAGCGTTCGAAGTCTTCTTACATGGTAAAAAATGAGACATTTTACTAAAACGATCAACAACAACAAGCACGGAATCGTAGCCTCTTTGTGTTTTCGGTAGACCAAGTATAAAGTCCATTGATAGGTATTCCTAAATAGATTTAAGAATTGGTAAAGGGGAGTATAAACCTGTGTTTTGGGAGTGTCCCTTAGCTGTCTGGCATATAAAGCAGCGGCTGACAAAGTTATTGATATCCTTGAGTAATTGGGGCAAAAAAAAAAATGAGTTGTGACAAGCTCAAGGGTCTTGTCTCGTCCCAAGTGGCTCGCCAGACCGCCATTGTGTATGTCTTGGATCACTGACTCCCGAAGGGATGTATGGGAAAGACACAAACAATCCCCTTTAAATAAAAACCCATCCACAATGTAGCAATCGTTGCAGTTGACATGCTGATTGCATTGTGTCCAGATGCTATGAAAGTCACTATCATGCTCATAGGATGTTGGCAAATGATCAAAAGCTATTATTTGACGTGCAAGGAGTGTAAGGGGACTAGCTTTCCGACTCAAAGCATCAGCGACTTTGTTAGTAATCCTTGCTTGATGTTTAATTACAAAATCGAACTTTTGCATAAAGGATAACCAACGAGCATGCATCCTATTAATGATCTTTTGAGTTTGTATATATTTAAAGGAAAAATGATCTGTATATAGGATGAATTCTTTTCCAATCAGATAGTGCTCTCATTGTTTCAAGGCTCGGATTAAGGCATATAGCTCTTGTTTGTATGTGCACCATTTTTGTCTTGAAGGAGCGAGTTTTTCACTAAAATATTCCATAGGGTGTCCTTTTTGAGATAATATAGCTCATATTCCAATTCTTGATGCATCCACAGCCACCTCAAAGGGTTGTGAGAAATCAGGTAGGTCGAGGATAGGGGTGGAGGTCAGTTTCTCTTTAAGGTCCCGAAAACTAGTGTCTTGTTCAGTACTCCAAACCAATTTATTTTTCTTCAAACACTCGGTTAAAGGGGTAGCGATAGTACTAAAGTGTTTGATAAACTTTCTATAAAAGGATGCTAATCCTAAAAAACACTGAACATCACGTAGAGATGTGGGAGTAGGCCATAGTTGAATTGCTTTAATTTTTGAAGGATCAATTGAGATGCCGTGTTTATTGAAAAAAAATCCTATAAATGCTATATTTGAAGTCATGAAAGAGCATTTGGCCAAGTTTATATATAAGTTATTCTGTTCTAGGGTATGAAATAAATCATGTAGGTGTTGTAAGTGATCATGTTCGGATTTACTATACACACGTATATCATCAAAATAAACAACAATAAAATTATTAAGGAAAGGATGTAAAACCTGGTTCATGAGCCACATGAACGTACTTGGTGCATTGGACAATCTGAATAGCATAACCAACCACTCAAAGAGTCCCTCTTTGGTTTTAAATGATGTATTCCATTCGTCCTCGGGTCGAATTCTGATTTGATGATACCCACTTTTTAAGATCAACCTTGAAAAAGACTTGAGCCCCACTAGTTGATCTAAAAGATCGGATAATCGGGGTATAGGAAAATGATATTTAATAGTAATCTTGTTGATGGCTTGGCTATCAACACACATTCGCCACGAGCCGTCCTTCTTAGGAGCTAGTAAAATGGAGACAGTGCAAGGACTAAGGCTCGGCTGAATATGCCCCTTTCAAATGAGATCTTGGATTTGTTCATGTAAAATGTGATACTCCTTTGGACTCATTCTATAATGAGGTAGATACGGTAAAGCAGCCCCTGGAATGAGGTCTATACAATGTTGGATGTCTCTTAAAGATGGTAGATCGGAAGCATCCTTGGTAAGGGACGCAAATTTGGATAATAACTATTGTACCTTTGGGTGAGTAGTAGGTGGTTGTGGCTCTAATATGTCTCCCTTATTAATCAATGCCACCACCAGAGGATCATTACGTTGTAAAAAGGTTTTCCCACGGATAACAGTAAACAGTTGGTTTGTGGAGGTGGACGGGTCCTTTTTTAGTTTGGGATCCGACGAGGATGGTAAGAGTACAATCTTTCTACCCATCCAATAAAATTCATACGTATTCTCGCGCCCCTTATGAATAGCTTGAAGATAGTATTACCAGGGACATCCAAGAAGGATATGGCAAGCATCCATGTCTAAGACGTCACAAATAATTTGATCTTTGTAGTGATTCCCAATGCTTAAAGGCACGGTACATATTGAACTTATAGGTGTTTCCCCGCCTTTTCGAATCCACGAAACCTTGTAAGGTTGGGGATGCGCATCCATTTTAAGAGTAAGGACCGAGACAAGCTTTTGAGACACCATATTTTCGCTGCTGCCACTGTCTATTATTATGTTACATATTTTTTCATTGACAGTGCAGCGTGTTCGAAAAAGAGCATGACGTTGAGTAGGGGTCTCTATCTTAGGTGCCAAAAGGACTCTTTGAACAACACAATTAACAAGATTCCCTTCGTCTGGTTCTATGTAAGTAACATCCTCATTCACAGGAAGATCAAGGTCAATATCCTCGATTGGTATATCATCTTCCTCCACCATGGCCACAGTTCGTCGTTGGGGACACTTATTGGACAAATGTCCTAGCTGGCCACAACAGAAACATTTGCCCAAATTTGGGCGAGCATAAGGGGTCAGACCCTTTCGAATGATAGGATCAATAGGCTTACCCGGACCAGAAATTTTAGGCATGTTGTCCTCTGATTTGAAGCCTGAAGAAACAGGGGCACCCATTGAAACAAAAGAAGAAGAAGGTTCAGAAGGAGGAAATTTAGTACCTTGTGCTTTGTCCCATACCGGACGTCGTGGAGTCGCTCGACTACGTTTGCGCTCAATTTTCTCTTCCACCTTAGTTGCAATAGATATGGCCTCAGTCAGTAGTCCAATTAGCTGAGTATCCATCTGATCTTTGATATCATCACGCAATTCATCCAAGAAACAGGAAATCTTGTAATCTTCCGACTCTGAAAGATTTGTACGAGTTCCTAAATGACGGAATTCCTCTGTGTAGTCAGCAACAGACTTAGTTCCTTGGCGGCATCGCTGGTACTACTGATAGAGTAGTTGTTCGAAGTTGGAAGGTAAAAACCGCTCGCGCATTAGTCGAAGCATACGAGGTCAGCTACGGATAGGGCGTTTACCCAGGCGCCGTCGGTTGACTTCCAGTTGATCCCACCACGCTGATGCGCCATATTGGAGTTTGAAGGCGACCAAACGAACTTTCTTATCTTTTGGCGTATTAGTATATTCAAAAAAAATTCTCGACAAGGTCAAGAATGCCTCAATTCCCAACTTCCCATTGAAGGTCGGAAAATCAATCTTCATCGTATAATCGGTCCGCACTCCTCCCCTGTTGTGAACATCAAATCTGTCAGCGTGGTGATTTCCCCAAATGAAGACATCTTCTTCCTTAGATGAGTCTGAATCTTGATTTCGCAATTGGATTTCTTGATATCTTCGACCATGTCCATTCGGGTTTCGAATCACAATAGGGGATGGCGAACGATTTCGTGGCTGTCGAACCCGTTCTTGTTCGAGCTGTCTGCCGCGATTACCAAGGTCCTCACGCAGCCGTTCTTGCTCGAACACAATATTTTCCAAGTGTTTTGAAAGGTTCTCCATCAGACCATGAATTGTCTGAACGCTAGTTCGAACCTCCCCCAATGAATCTTCTACCAACAGCAAGCGCTCCGTAGCAAATTTTGGGGACAGAGGTTGAGAAGAATCCACTGCGGGTCCTTTGTCGGAAGTCTCTGTGTTTCTTCCCGCCATCAGGTCCTAATAACCAACACTTAACTAACTAACTCAAACAGTATCCAACGGCTAAAAGATTTTGCTATAAACAAACAAGCCTTAATAAATCACATCAATAATACATGTTCCTTGATTGAGATTCGAATCATTCTACGAGTAATATACCTGATCAAACCTCCCTTGTCATTCAAACTATCACAATATTGCAAAATCCATTAGCTATTGGCTAAAAGAAACTTAAAGACTCATTTTATTACATCTCAAAATTTGAATACAAGTGATAATTTCAATGTTTCATATACCACCTCTCAATCATATGAAGAGTCCTAAACCAAATAAAAAACTTGTAACTTACCATAAATGAGAAGACTCGTAATTTATAAGAAAAAAATATTATAAATTAAAAGACAGACAACTGAAAGGCTTAAGCCACCAAATTAATCATATTATCGACATAAAGGTAAATTTGTGTTTTGACTCAAATTTGCCTTGTTTGGATGAGATTTGAAGATGCTTGACATACACTCTAAAATAATATATTTACGCATCGATTTTTATTTATTTGAAATATAGTGGAGATTCATGTAAGATGATAACCTCGTCTAAAGATGGATCAAATAAAAGAGAGAAGATTTTAAACTTTTACGTCTCTCTAATTTGGTATCTCGAAACATTATATATGTAGTTAAAAAGAAGTAAAATTCTAGCTCCCATATGAAAATTTCTTACTCACCTTGTCTCAACCTCATCTCAATGCTCTTTAAGATGCATTGCTTTACAACAATCACGTCGATGACTATTTCTCATAGTCTTATTTTAATTCAAAACTCACTCACTTCATACTTATTTATTTTTTAACACTTAGATTAAAAATGAAACAACTTCCAAATCTTATACTTTTTATTTTTAAGAAAACAATACAGATAATAACCCTAAATTTATCTCCTACATCAACATATTTATGTATGGTACAATTTTTTTTATACAAGAATCTTATTCCTTCTTCTCCTTCTTTCCCGATTTCCAAGGTTAATATAGCCCTCTCGAAACCTAACTGTTAGAGTCGCATTTCCAGACTAATATTCTAATTAATCTTTGACTGGATACTTGAACTCTTCTCCTATAAGGTAGAGAACAAGTGGGTATAGAGATTCGAACTCACGACTTCCTAATCGAGAGATAAATATCAATTACTGCTAAACTAAGTTCATGTTGGCTTATGCATAGTATAATCATAACAATTTGTTTCCTTGAAAAAAAGTATATCAATTTAAATATAGTTCAACTAGTTAAAACATATATATCCAGTCAAAAAGTTAAAATCAAATTTTCACCTTCACATGCTATTGAACTCAAAAGAAAAAATATAATGTAATTATAATAATCTATAAATAGAAAAACAATATTTACCACTCAAGTTCTTCATTTTCCAATTCGATTCGATCCATTTGTTCGTCGAGCTATTTTCTTGATCGCAGATATTTCTGGAACACCTCTAACAGAGGGACAAATAGTCAATTTTTTGAAAGAGGAAAAAACGGAGTCTTTGTCTAAGGAAATGCGGGCTTCAACCTCTGCGTTTATTTTATTTGAAAAAATTAAATTTCGAGTAGTTTTAAGATCATTTCTAAAATTTTAAACCTCGATTTGGATTCTGGGATTCATTTTACTTTATTCTATTTTTTATTTTAATATAATAACATGTGAGAGCCTATAACAACGGTTCGAAAAGTCACTACTTCTTAACCGAAGATAAGGTTTGATATTTATTTTAAGTTTTTAAATTTAATAAAAGTGATGGAAAAAATATTTTTTTAGTACAACTAGTAGGATAGCTTTCGACCTCATATAAATTAGATATATGCCATTACAGTGGAGGTATATATTTTTTTGTTTTTTTTTGTTTTTAGTTCATATTAGGGAAAATTTTTGACATTTCAAAACTAGTAAAGTTTTATTTGTCACATTTCAACCCATAAATCTCCTTCCTCCTCCATAGAAATCCTTGATTCTGATACAACCTGCCTCTTTCTTCTGATATTTTCTTCTTCTCTGCGATGGAATTCCATACCAATTGTTAAACAATAGCAGACAAGACTGCAAAATATGGTTTGGGGCTTCTTCCCCGTCGATCCTCTTTCAGGTCCCTTCCTTCTTCGTGCTCTCAAAATTACTTCTTCCTTGCTGCTGAAAGAGTAGCTTTTTTCCCCTTCTTTTTAGTAGAATAACTTTGGGCAAATTGTTAAGAGTTCAATACTGGGTTTCAATGCTTACTGTCTGAAGAATCGTCATTTCTCGTTTGGTTTGATAATTTACATAATGAAATGCATGTCGCAGGCGAGGAGAAATTCTATATTTTTGCTCCTGGAAAGTATAAAGTGGGTCGCAAAGGTATTTCGCCGGTTTAAATCATGTTGCTTATGCTTGTAGTTTCATTTGACGCAGTAACGTTCTTCTAAATGATGAATTTTATGGCATATTCTTGGTTTATTCTGTATTTTAAAAGTTTTGTCGGGTGAAACCATGATGACCACCTACGTAGGATTTAATCTACAAGTTACCTCGTAAATCAAATGCATTAGGGTCAGGTGGTTGGTCCTTCATTAGTCGACATGACACACGGAAATTAGAAAAAAAAAAGTTTTGTCACTTCCTTTTGTCTCTCAACTCATGCTATCAGTTATTTGCTCATTCTGTGATCTTATTTATATCCTGTAGGCTGTGATTTGACCATAACGAAAGATAAAGGAGTTTCTCGCATCCATGCAGAAATAGTTGTTGATGCTATGATATTTTTAAATTCCCATGGGAGTTATTTATCCAACGTTTCCTCTAAAGTGCGGATAAGCGATTGCTCCAAGTATGGGACATTTGTTAGCAGGAATTCAGGGTTGAAGGAGAAAATTCACGAGCTTCCCAAAAAAGAAGCAAGTTTGTGTGATGGAGATGTGGTTTCATTTGGATCTGGCAATGCAACCTACAGGTAATCTGAGAAGCGTTTAAAATCGTGATAAGATTTATCTTTTAATTAATCTAATTGCTCTCATTTCCTAGCTCTTTATTAAAAGTAGGATATGCTTTTTATATATGGCTTATTAGACTCATTATTAAAACCGGGGTTCTCAGTTAAATCAGGTGCTGTTTCTTGCTACTTATTCAGTGCATAGATGGCAAAGTTTCTTGTCATTCGTACTTAAATATATTTTTTTAAGCTAGAAGATCTCTTATTCCTTCTCTCTTCTGTGAATATATGTATAGTCTTATTTAATTTTAATATACTTCTTGGTTTCTATTAAAAGAATTAAAATAGAAAAAGGGTAGTTTCCTGAGAGGAAACAGTACCATTTTATAGTCAAATCATTACCTTTAACAAGATTTTATAACACCCATTGTGCTTGAAGACCTTATTAGTCATAATAATATCTTGCAGGTTCTCTTTCGTGCCACTCCTGTTTTACGTTCACTGTTCAGAGTCCTTCCAATTACAACTGCTTAGAGACAAGGTTTCGTCCATCGGTTAGTCATAAAGAAGTTTCCGATCTTCTTCGACTTTCTTTACAAAAAAAATTCTGATTAGTTATAAGTTTCAACTCCCAACGTTTCTTATGTAATTGCTTAGTTGCTTTGTGTTAGCATGTACTGTAACAAACACTTGAAATCTCTCAATACAACCTTGGAGACATGGTATTGAATATCATGTTATTCATACATAGAATTATTAACTTAATTGAATGTTAAATTCCAATAAAGAAGGACAACTTATGAAAGGGAGGTTTGTTTATATTCCTGAAGGGAGTTCTTTGTAATTCTGCTCGTAAAAATTTTCATAACTTCGATGTAAAGTTTTGTTTCCCTCTAACAAAAAAACAAAATTGATTATGCAAGGATGATCATAGTGTGAGAGGGGTCCGACGAGGTGAATGGGAGAAGGGGAAGATAGAAGAGTGTCGACGAAAGAGAGGGTAGAGAGAGAGAGAGTGAATAGCACCAAAAACCTTTTAATTCACATATTGTCTGATTAATGTTATTAAAGCTACTAAATAAAAAATATTCAAGAAGATTATCACAAATTTAAACTTCATAGATTAACTTAAATTAGTGATAAAATATAAAAAGGATAAAATAAATTAAAGTAAATAATTCCTAAATTTCTTGTAAAAAAATCCTAAATAATGCAAATGAACAACATTTAACCAGCTACAAATGTATGTTTTAAGACGGAACAACTTGAGACTTGTGAATTTTTCCATGATCATCTGGCTTAGAACAAGTGGAAAATCATAATATTAACCTTTCTAGATAACTTTGAATGTTTATTGTGCACTTTTTGCTAACCAACGATGATGCATTCTTGCTAAGGAGGCCGTTCTGACCAATGTTGCTATTAGGAATTTTTTTTTTTTAATAATAAAAGATGTTTTAAGACATAACAACTTGAAACTCATGCACTTTTCCACGATCTTCTAGCTCAGAACAGGTGGAAGATCCAGATATAACCTTTCTAGCTATTACACTTTGAATGTTTACTGCGCACTTTTCGTTCATCAAGGAGTGATGCATTCTTGCTAAGGAGGCTGTTCTGACAGATGCTGCTATTAGGAATATTTTAGTGTGATGGAAGCCATCTCTCAAGTTCATCATCATTATTTACTAAATAGTTTATGCTGAACAACATCTACTCGTTGTACATAGTTTGAGTTTGTATTTTTAGTTGAATTTAAAGAGTGTCTATTTAAATGTAGGTGCTTCTACTTCCCATGATAGTCTGGAGTGTACACATGTTCTTGTAGAGGAACTGATGTCTTTTAATGAACCTCTAATTGATGCCATCATCGCTGAGAAACCTTTTGTTCTTTCAAGTTGGGTTGAGGTAAAAGTGCTTTATATGTTAATTGTTTTTACTGTGATGTCAACTTCTATTGTCATGTTCACAGTTCACACTCATGTTATGATAGGAACCTGGTCTTGAGAACAGAAAATAACAATGAAATTGTATTAAAATATAAAAGTAAAATTACGTTATCAACCCCAAGCACTTCGAGAGAGTCGGACTTCCTTAAGAAAACTACACTCCAAAACTCTACCTAACCTCTAAACTCACTTCTCCCTCTACTTATAACTACCCTACCCTAACAACTATGAGTCAAGTGGATCAAGGCAGTGGATTGTGAATCCACCACACGCGGCGTGTACAAGGCCCGGGAACGAATTCACCGCCGTCCTTCAACTGATTGTTCACATTGGATCTCAGGTTGTCTATTGCACTCCCTAAATAGGGTTCTTTTCACCTTTCCCTCACGGTACTTACTCTAACATAATGATTCCATGGTGAAGTCATGTAGGCATGCAGATAGATTTTGATGTTTTCTGTGAGTGATTGTAGTTTATTTTTTCCATAACTAATAAAAGGAGTACAACTCTAAATAAAAGGAACTATTTTCATGAATAAGCCTAATAAATAGGATCTGATGCAGCGGGACGTTTAGAGGAATATCTCATAAATATGCAAAAAAATGTGCATTGAAAGAATCCTAACCAAACACATTGTAGGACCCATGTCGTGCCCACCAGATGCAAGTGGTAGACATTTTACCAAGGCTTTATGTTTGAAGACTTAAAATCCAAGTTGGATTTTTTTGTGTTTGGGATGACTTTTGAGAAAGGGGCAGCAGCTTTTCTATATTTTCTACATTTCTATTTAGAAGCACTAATTAAATGCTTCCCTTGGAAGCTCTTCAAAGTATTTATAAAATTTTCAATATCACTTTCCTTGAACATTTTGAAAAATTCTTTTAATGGGTTAAATAAAATAAAGGAGGCAAAATAAAAAGCTTACTCAAATAATTTTCTCCCTTCAATTTCCACTTTCCAGTGTTCTGTGTATCCTCGATGAATTTGCAGGTACATACTTGTTAAAGACTAGCAAATGAAGTTTACAGTTAGAATAGTGTACACTTATATGGTAAATACAAATAATAGAACACTGAAAAAACCAGGAGCAAATAGGTTTTTTTTTTTTCCTTAGAGAGCCTTGGAGGAGCATACTCTTTATTTTTTTAACAGGAAACATCTTTTCATTTCATTGATATATGAAAAGAAAATTGTTCAAGATACAAATCCCCAAAGCGACAGAAAAATAGGGAAAAAGCAGAACGAATAATGGACAAGCTCAACAAGGAGCAATGCAAAATAGAGAAAAGATAAAGACAATATAACACATGGGCCACCACTGAAGAACTCCGAAGACGGCAACTATGAATCTTGGAATACCAAAAAGCTTCAAATCCCTAAACCCTAAACCCTAAACCCGAAGTGGAATCCGAACAAGAAGATTCCTCAAAATCGACCTTGATCTCATCTAAATAGTCTTTAAGCAAACTAATCCGCTTCTTGAGATTAGAGAATAAAGCTGGAGAGCTTCTTCTCGATTTCTGGCTAGCTCTTTGTCAAGAGAGGGCAACTAATTCTCCAATTGGGAAGGAGAAAACTAGAAGTTTGCTTGATTGATAAAACAACGTCCTCTTTAGAGCAACCTGGGGGGAAGTCCATGATATGATAATTCAAGCAAAAAGGGAGATTGAGACACTCTGAAAGAATCTGCAAAAAATGTTGAAAAAGCTTGTTCATAAACAACCAGCTGAAGAATAAATAGAGACGAGTGAGAAGACCAACTCCCTAGTCCCTATGCACCCAAATAAAAGCTGCCTTCAAAGAGATAACACCCTCAGGCTAAGATATGATGACTCTATAGTCCTACTAGTTTCTTTTGCTCTAGTTCATTCAACACACTTCAGTTCAACAATCCATAAAATTACTTGTTATGCTTTTATGTTTTTGTTGGCTGCCATCATGAAACAAGAACGATTTTTGTTACATCTTTGTTGAATAAAGAAGATGCTTCTCCATTTTGTATCTATGCACAGACTGTAGTTTCTGCACTGGTGTAGAACCTCATTATTTCTCTCATATTTATGTAGGGTGATATTTTTGATAATTTCTATTTCTAGATCCATGCTATCAACAAATAGATTAGAAAAGCAAGATTCTGCATTGTTACTGATTGTCATACTCTAGTTATTTGCAGGAAGAACCTCATGCAATGAGATTCCATGCACTGATTCGTAAGTGCAGCCTTTTAAGTTTGACTGGGAACAAATTATTATTAAGTAACAGTAAATATTTTCTGAACCTCCTGCATTTCATCAACCTTTTGTCTTTGTTCTTCTTTAATCAGCTATCATCCTACAATGACGGTGGAAGGGATGCATGTCAAAGTTGTGGACCCTAAAACTCGTAAAAACTGTTTGATTGGATACATCTTTTTATTAGGGTCAACACATATGGTAATGCTCTTGTTTTCATTTCAATTTATATTTTTTTCATTTTCACATTCCTCGAAAGTTGCTGAGGCGTGTAACAACCCTTTGATGAATGAATTATTGAAAAAATTAGCTTTCTTTGTGATATACCTAGTTAACTAGAACCCAACAAGTAGGAGTTGTGAGGAAAAAAGAAAAATAATAAAGGAAAGAAAAAGAGAAGTTTCTAATCTCATGTCATCTCTACCTTTGTGACAAAAAAATTAACGGACACGAGTGGAGTGTTTAGTACTATTCTTTTCTGCCAGTGTATTTCTTGAAACTTAGGGAATAAATCGTTTGGTGGATTGTTTAAACTTCCATTAATGTAGATGTTCAAATTCCTATGTCATAGAAATACAAGTATGGGGATCGGTTGAAGATGTTATTGCAACAAGTTGGTGGTGCGAATGTTTCATCCATTGAAGGCTTCTCTTCAGATAGCAAAGTACGAGGCTTTATCTCTTTTTACATATACTGTATCCATTCTTTCCTAATTGCTTTATGAAGGCGGAGGTAATAGTAAACACTATTGTCTGAACAAATTTCATGTAAAAGATTCTAGTTCAAATTATTTCTGACAGAAATATAGTCTTAGGGTTATGGTTGACAACATGAACTGCGTATGATTACAGATTGAGTATTTTGAATAATACGTGCTTAATACACCACTAATACACTATCGATTTATGGTCAGTCAAATAATTCATTAATATTTAATATATATAGGTACATATGTTCATATGTATTTCATGTCCATACCCATCAAGCAATACCCACGATCCAAAGTGGCGTGAGGCTTAAGATGTGAATAGTGTGCGAAGATGTCTCAAATGGTGGCTTATGCAGTCTTTGATTAGACTAAATTTAACTAGTGACTTAACGACATTGTAAACACTAGGGTTTGAGAGAATCCGATAAAGATTATTTTCATTACTGAAGCTATATATATGGACAAATATACAAGGTTGGTCTAATCCTAGAAAAGGAAGCTAAATGACAAATTAATACGTATTATTACAATAATATAAAGTATACTAATATATATACTCTAACAATCCTCCTCAAGTTGGCGGCTTATACTAATATATTATTCTCAGCTTAAACTATGAATTGGCGGCTTATGTGGTCTTTGATTAGACTAAATTTAACTAGTGACTTAACGACATGAAGTTTTTATTTCATTTCTCTAGTTTATCTCACTTCTGTGAACCTGCTGTCTGTTGGGCAATTGATTTGTATGATTAATTCTTGTAGGACCTTGGAAATGGAGACAATGATCGGATAGTATTTGTTACCCCTCAAGGATCAGCAGAAAAGTTGGATTCATTTTATAAGGTTGATTCTTATTATAAAATAAATGAGTTGGTCTTGATATCTTCTATTTTGAGTGGAAAGCTGGACAGAGACAATTTGATATCACCCTGTGGTAAGTTGTCTTCTTCACTTCTTCACTACTAGTTTCATTTGTAGTATATTTGTTTATATACTCATTGTGATCACTCGTAAAGAAGGTCAATTTTCCTTCATTTTTAATTAATTCATCTAACTAAATAAAAAGTTTCCTTGCAGAACCTGGTTCCTCTACATGCTCCACTGATGAGACCGTGGTAGCAGAATCCGATCTCGAAGTGGAAACGGCTAAACCAGTTGATACTGCTTCGAACGTACAAAGGCCAGATGAATATTTAAGCAAACCAGATGTGTTCGTTAACAATGCCACTACTGGATCAGCAGGTAGCCATGAAACATTCCAAGATGGTTACAGCAGCGTTGAAACAAGAAAAGACAAGGTCAATGAATCTGACAACAGAAATTTAGACATTATATTTAATCAAAATTTAATTGTGCGGCATGTGACGGAACCCTCCACAATAGTTACTGCAGAAGACGGTGGAGTTACAAACTTCAAACGCTTCAGAAAGGTATTAGCCTCTGAATGTATTATTGGTGCACAAATTACTGCTTCATATTAATCTCAGAAATCTCAAAGATCATTACAGATGTACTTTGATAGACCATTATATGCTTTGCTGTCTTAAATGACGAACCAAATGACGATCATGATCATATTTGCATTCAACTGTTAGAATATGGATTTTAGTAGTAGTAAAAGCAAAGTATTATTGCCTTAACTGTGCTTAGCAGTTGAAAGTTTCTTGGGTTGCTGGCACATGATGAAAAATTTTATGGAGGTTGATATACATGTATGTCCCTTCAACTTTTTTTGCAGACAGAAACTCAGTCTGGGAATAGCTTTTACAACCTTGTTCCATTTGCGAAGTATCCTTACAAGTAAGTTTTTTTTTTTTCCTTTTCTTTTCTTTTTTCTTTTAAAAAAAGAGTATTGGAGTCTCACTCATTACATTATACTCATGCCCGACCCACTGATTCTTAAGAGGTTTTGCACACTCCAAGATAGCTTCAAGAGACAACTAAGATTTTAAGTTATTAAATTTTAGACCTGTAGCTTTAACCCTAGAACTTGGAAGGTATTTCCAAACATCCCAAATTCTTACCATTCAGGCTCCTCTACCTCCCGGAATTCTATAGGATAGCTTCAAGAGACAACTAGGATTTTAAGTTATTAAATTTTGAACCTGGAGCTTTAACCCTAGAACTCGGAAGGTATCTCCAAACATCCCAAGTTCTTATCATTCGGGCAGCTGTATCTATCGGGATTCTATGGGATAGCTTCAAGAGACCATTAGAGTTTTAAGTTGTTAAATTTAAACCTGGAGGGTATCTCCGAACCTCCAAAGTTCTTACCATTCGGGCACCCCTACCAGTCTGATATGTTAAAAGAAAAGAAAAAGTCAACCTGACAATATTTTATGGCTTTCTTCTAGGGATAATGGCGATGGGAGGGAGGAAATTGCAGAGTCCTTGAAAGAAGAAAGAAAGCGCAAGGAAAAAGAAGCCATAGCTGAGGATTTATTTCATAACGAGAAGGTGAGCGTTTTAAAATTATTTTAGCATCACAAGTTATAGAAAGACATGCGTGAGGACTTAACTTTTTTAACTTCAACAAATTTTAGGGACGGCGCCGTGGAATGGTTGGTTCCCTTCAAGAGCTTTTTACTCGTTCTTAAAACAGGTGTTTAGACACAGGTTTGCATCCAAGAATTCCATTTTGTGAATAACTTGTACTCCCCTCCTTAGAAATAAGAGATGCTTTTGGTTTTGTCATTGCTTGAAACAGTTTAGTATTTGCATCGGTATTCGTGGATTCGAAGATACAAGAAGGGGGATACCATTTGCTACCGAGTAGGAAATGTCGTTGGAACTTGTCCTCTTTGAAACAAAGGACACTTCTGATACTGTCGATACTTGAAATAGTTTAATCTTTCCTTGACCAGTAATTGTATATTTGAAGGTTCAAGAATAGGGATACCATTTGCAGCACAGCGGGAAATGCTTTTGGCAATTTTGGGTACTAATCTCCGCCACATTGAAATTCCCCTAATTTTGTAATTATTTTATGATTTTGCTGTGATGTATGCTCAATGCAAGAACTATATAAACCAAGAAGTCAATATATCTGCCTTTTGATTTTGATTGTCTGTTCCTTCTTTTTGACTTCTTCAAAAGCATTTTTGAGATTGATGAAAGGCTGTGCGCTTATTGAGTGTTTTTTTGGTGGTGCTCTAAGGTTATGTATTGAAAGTGCTTTGGGCTATGTGAAAAGTATCTGTACCAGAAAGGGAAAAAAAGTTTGGTGAGAAAGCACTTCTATGAGTGCTTCTGCTCCATCCAAGTAAGTGTTTGGCTGTAAAGCATTCATAAGTACCTTTAAAATACCTTTCCTGAAAACACTCCTAATATTACCTTAAATAATTGATTCCCTTTTGCTTTCTCTTGTGAAACTCTATTTTTTTTTTTAATTGGGAAAACTACTTGTCTGGTCCTTAGTTTTTTGCATTTGGCCCCTACGTTTTAAAATTGGGTCTTTTCCTCAGATTTTGAGAAATAGGTTTAAAATTTAAGTAATCCATCCACTAAAAGATTTGTTAAGATTTAACAAAAAAAAGATTGTGCTTTAGAGTTGAGATGGATTGCTTTTTTTTTTTGTTAAATATAGTTTTGACCCATTATTTTTAGTATAAATGTAAAGTATTTCTAGCCCACATTATAGGTATGAATCGATTCATATAGCTAACTAAAGTTGTGGAAATAGGTTGTCGTAGTCTATAGATTGTGGGGTTCTTGGGCGGTTATTACTACAATAGAGTTTTATATCACAGTGTTGATTGTGTAATGCGATATGAGGACGAACACCATGGTGTTAGACTCTATCGTGGTTATACTTGAAATTAAGATTGCAGTATTCCAGTCATGTAATGCAATTAAAAGATGAAAATTGCAGTCTTAAACCCTATTATGATGTTATTTGAAGATCTTAGTAAAATGCAATTGGATGGAAGAATACTGGATATTGTTTTAAGATCGATGTTTATCAATTGGACTGCATTATGCCATAACCTTAAAGCTGGGATTTTGTAACTCAAATTTGCCACATTGATTCGATCATCTTTTCGTTTGAGATAGGGGCAAAAATGTACGATTTTGAAAAATTAGAACCAAATGAACCTATAACTAAAAGTTGGATCAAAAGAGTACTTCCCCTTTTTAACTTCATACTCGTTTAAACATCTTTTCACCTAAAGTTTATGTTTGCTTTACAAGCATGTCACATTCGTTTTTTCTTTTGTGAAATGTTGCATCATAAGTTAATCCTATATTCTTTTAGTACAACATGTGGGGATGTGAGATTGAATTAACAACTAATTAGTTTGAATATGTCAATCATCGTTGAGCTATGCTCACTTTGACATAAGTTAAACTGATAGGGGATAAATTATCCAATGCATAAAAAAAAATTTAAGTTAAATGTAGCAACTTACCCCAACACTTTAGGTAATTCTCAATTTTGTCCTCAATTTTATCTTTAATGTATTAAAAATTCTCAACTAGACCGTTCTATGATAACATCGTAAACTTGAAAAGTTGATATATCATTAAATTATTATTTTATTAACATATTTGTTTAGTGAATATGTCATTTAGGTGATACTTGACACATAAAACTCAACTCGCTCATCAGGAAACTCGAAACCGTCCATCAACAAATTCCATTCCTGTTCAAAATGGCACTACAACCTTTCTAAACATAATAGCAAAACAGTAATATAATAACACATCGCTTCATATTAACAAATTTGAACATATTCTTTCACGCAAGGTATAAATTAAGAATTTTAAAAGATGAAGGACCAATTTGAAAAAACCTACAAATTTAGGGACCCTATCATATATTTAACCTATAATTTAATTAGAGAAAACGGATGGGTACAACTAATCACCAACCCAAATTATAACAAAAAATAAAAAATAAAATCACTGGGACCCACAATGCACAACGGAAACATTGATCCAACGGTCCATAAATGAAGCATCTTGATCAGTAGCTACACCTGCCCGTACCTGATCCCGGAGGTACACGTCGGTGCAGCGACCTAAAACCGAGTGAGCCGGTCAACCTTGAAAATAAACAAAACGGGAAATTTTGGTTTTGGGCTCCGAATATAACCGGCCTAGCCTGGCAAACCATCGCATTTTCAATATTCAACGGTCAACGGTCAAAAAACTTGGATGTATTCAATAAATAACCAGCTAAGGCTAACCACTCTCATTATTCCATTTCCCTTTCCACAACTAATCAATTTCTAACTTTGATTTGTAAAACATATAAATGTTTTAAATAGTATGACTGGTCAATTTAGCTTTTTTCAACTATATGGTTTTAGCTTTTAGCATCCCTCAAATTAGGGCATCAAATTTCGGGATATCTCTAGAGATTCTTTTTATCATATTAGACTTTTCGTGTGAAATAGTGTTCTTTTCAAACACCAGAACCGGCTTATACACCATACTTTTAAATGGATATGAGATTTGGGATTATAATTTTTTTTAGAGATAGAAGACGGAGAATAAATTTCTCGTCAGTAGCCTTGACCTTATTCCAAAATATATGTAAAATGTTAGATTAAATTTTTATTTTTTCAAGATTGTTTACCGGAGAGGAAATTTTTGGGAGTGGGCAACGAATGAAGAAGTGATCCTAATCTTTTAGGTAATTCTCCATTTCATCTTTCATTTAAATTCTTAATAATTAACATGGAAATTTTATATTAGGTATTTTTGAAAAGGAAAAAGAATTTGTTTAACTTTATAAGCTTTATGTCTCAATAAATTATTGTGTCATTAATATATTTGAATACTTGACATGCCACTTGAAGAAATGAATTATGTTGATGACCAGCTGGTTGGATTTTGAGGATGGATAAATTGGATTTCATACGTCAAATAACGTATGGACGACACGTTTATGTTTTAAAATATGCTATTCACAAAAAATTTAGGTATCGTTTGATAGCTATTTGTTTTTGATTTTCTGTTTTTTTTTTTAAATTATTTGGTTTTATTACATACTTTTTATAAACATTTTTAAAATTTAGGAGTAAAAAAAAAGTAGTTTTTTCCTTCAAAATTTGGAATAACTCAAAGTATATTTTCAATACCAATGCTATAAAACAAGCAATCATTTTTTCAAAAAGAAAATTAACGAAATAATTATCTAACAATATTTAATCATCCCTTAACTTTTTCTAAAAAACTTTTGTACAAGGTAACTTTTTCTAAACAAATTTTAACAAAACTTTTACCAAAGTAACTTTATTTTATTTTATTTTTTTCTTTTCTATAAAGGAATTGAATTTTTGTTAATAAATTAAGAGCAAAATCGTGAATTTAAAATATTAAGAATTATCCAAAATATGAGGGACTATTGTGCAAGAGATAGAAGGGTAGATACCCAATTTAGGGCTTGATTTGATGTTAGATTGATTTAATTTCTTTTACTTTTTTGGGCTACATTTCAATTTTTGTCCCGTTCCTTAATACATAAGAAGAACCCTAATTTTGAAATTCTCTCTCTCTACGTCTCTTTCCTCTATCAACATATTCAACACGCAGAACCAAACAAAATACCAGTCAAAGATCAAAAAGCAACTCAATTTCTAAATCAGGAGCAATTTTTTTATGAATCACAAGTTTCAATTTCAATCTCCCAGCGGTGAACTTTGACCCGCGTAACCAATTTTTCTCTCTCTCCTTCTGATATATAGAACCAACCCTCCATTGATTCCCTCCTCAGCTGAATTTCAGAGAAGAGGAGCATTCAAACTTCGTATTCAACTTCCTTTTTTCTTCTGGGTTTTTCGATTTGGCTTCGACAGAGAAGGCTGCAATGATCTTGTCATGGAGGAAGAACAAGCTAGGGCTTCTTTCTAAGTTGAAGAAAGAGGTTCCGGGCGTCGATTCGGGTGCGGAGATTGAAATTCCTTCGCATTTTTTGTGTCCGATTTCCCTCGATTTGATGAAGGACCCTGTGATTTTGTGCACCGGGATTACTTACGACAGAGAGAGCATCGAGAAGTGGATTGATGCTGGGAATTTTTTATGCCCGGTGACGAAACAGGGTTTGACGGGTTTCGATCTAATCCCTAATCACGCGTTGCGGCGGATGATCCAAGATTGGTGCGTCGCGAATCGTTCTTACGGAATTGAGCGGATTCCGACGCCGCGGATTCCAGTCACTCCGTATGAAGTTTCGGAGATTTGTTCGAGAATCGCGGCCGCGACTCAAAGGACCGATTCGAAGAGGTGCGGGGAATTGGTGGGTAAGATTAGGAATTGGGGAAGAGAGAGCGAGAGGAATCGGAGGTGTATCGTGAGTGGAGGAACCGGCAACGTTTTAGCAGCTTCGTTTGAGCATTTTGCCGGTGTTTCGATTGAGAAACATGCGGGTTTGTTGGAGGAGATTTTGTTGGTTTTGGTGTGGATGTTCCCAATCGCCATGGAAGGCCTATCTAAGCTCGGATCTGCAGATTCTTTGAAATGCTTAGTCTCCTTCTTAGTGGGCAAAGATCTTTCCCCCAAGAAGAGCGCAGTTTTTGTTCTGAAAGAGTTGCTTTTGGTTGATCAAAGATTCGTCGATTCATTGGCCGCCATTGAAGGAGTACCTGAAGCTTTAGTCAGCATCGTCAAGGAGCCTCTTTGCTCATCAGCTACAAGATCATCTCTCACAGCCATTTTCTACATGATTTTGCCATCAGAAATCAGCGAGAAAATGGCATTGAAATTTATGGAACTGGGCTTGGTCTCTCTGCTACTAGAATTTCTGGTAGATGCAGAGAAAAGTCTATGCGAGAAAGCTTTGGGAATTCTGGATGGAATTTGTGATTTCAAACAAGGAAGAGAGAAGCTTTACCAGAATGCACTTACCATTCCACTATTGGTGAAGAAGATCCTGAGAGTTTCAGAGTTATCCACTGAATTCTGTCTGTCAATATTGTTGAAGCTCTGTAAAAGTGGAGAGCGGGATGAGGACGATGTGAGGGTGGAAGCAGCCCAATTGGGTGCTTTCCAGAAGATTTTGGTTCTTTTACAGGTTGGCTGTGGTGGTGCCATGAAAGACAAGGTAACTGAGCTCTTGAAGTTGTTGAATCTGTACAAAGATAGAGTAGATTGTATTGATTCGTCCATGCATTTCAAGTACTTGAAGAAATCATTCTGATTACTGTAAGAAACACAAAAAAGTTTTGTTATTGTTTAGGTAGTGAGAAGTGTACATAGATACACAGAAAACACAGTTCAATCAATAGTTACTGAGAAAAAAAAAATTTAGACTCATTCTGTCTGAGCCTTCTGAATTACTCGCTGATTATCAAGATTGTATTAGATTCATCCATGCATTTTAAGTACTTGAAGAGATCATTCTGATTACTGTAAGAAAC